TAGAACGATCAATGGCAATTTTGTAATTTTTAATATTATTAATGCAAAGTTATAAACTTATAATTGTATAATTAGTGGTCAAAATAAATTCTAGAAGAATCCAATTTCCAAGAGTCACAAAAAGCTTTGTTTCATGTGTAGCACCCACAAACTCATTTTATTTTATTTTTTAAAATCAATTTGTATTTGTTTGATTATAATAATAGTGTGAAATATATTTATATCCTTCATGCTTTAAAATTTTAATCCTCCCTCAAATTTAAACAATATATACCTCCTTCCCATCCTATGAAATGTATTTTATATTCTTGACATTCAAATTGTTCATCTATGTATATTACTACTACTACAATATATTCAGTATAATCCTACAATCTTTCATATATGTAATTTAAAAAATAATAAAAATGTGAGCAAACCATAGTCTGGAACCCTATATCCAAAATAGTTTAAGATAAGTATAAGTCAATGAAATTATCGTGTTAGAACTACGGGACTTCAGGGATGCCAATACCTTCCCCTCGGTCAACAGAATTTCTTACCCATTCTTTTATTTTCGCAAATCAAAATAAAGAGTTATTTCTTTTTGATAAGAGATTAAAAAAAATGACTTGAAACACCGAAACTCAATTCTAAGTGACGATTCTGAATAACTAAAATAATTTCTTTTCAATACTGTCACTTATAGTGGAAAAATTATTCGAAAAAAGGGGTGCGCAAGAGTCATTTCACTTGAATATTTCAACCCTTAATAAAATATTCCGATTAGATACTCTTTGTTCAATTTTTAAACTTTTGTTGTGTGTTTTCATTCGTCTATTAAGTAGTTTATTTAATTACATAAAATATATATTTTTTAATTGTATGCATTCGCCTTAATATATTATAAAACCTCATGCATTTTTTTAATTGAGATGGATGTATATACTTAAAGTAGATGACATGTTATATGTTATTAACTTAACTATTTAATAGACGGATGAAAATATGCACACACAAAAAAAAATTAAAATTTGAATTGAAATGTTCGATTGAAATATTTTATTAAATGTTAATATGTTTAACTAAAATATGGCTAAATTCAAGTGTTTAAAAAACGTATTCTAACAATTTTAAGGGGCTAGTTACTAGGGTGTTCGTGGTTCGGTTTGAATCGGTTATTGATTAAAACCAAAACCAAACCAATCTAGTCGATTTTTTAAATTTCTAAAACCAAATCAAACCAAACAAAAAAATAACCGTCGGTTTCGTTATTGTTGGTTTGGTTCGGTTTGGTCCAATTTTTCTGGTTTATTCGGTTTGAAAGTAAAAAAAATTTTGAGGACGTACTTATGTCGATAGACACGAACACCTAGTACATGAGCAATCCACAAAAAAGTTATTGTCGATTTAATTAAGCAATACTAACTTATCGGTTAGCAGGGTAGATAAAGACTAAAATGGTTTTGATAGACTTGGACTTAGGATTGTTATAATTTGACTAAAGTGTGGGCTTCAGAAAATGGTAAAGTTAAAGATTTTTGTTAATTAAAATTTAAAATGTTTTATTTATGAATAATATATAAATAATTATAAAATTTATATATCTAATTTATCGGTGCGGTTTGGTTATTTTTGCAGTTGATTTTTAGTAAAATCAAAACCAAACCAAATGGTATCGGTTTTCAAAATTTAAAACCAAATCACACCAAATATCAGTTTTTTTAATCGATTTGATTCGAATTGCAATTCGATTTGATTTTTTAACCATAACCATGAACAACCCTATATACAAGTCTTACTAAAGCCTATCATTAGGAATATTCCTGAGTTGATTTAGATCGTTTATTGGTCAAAATTAAAATCAAATCATTTTAATCAGATATTAATTTCTTTAAATCAAAATCAAATCTATTCAATCGATTTGATTGAGATCAATTTTGGTTTACTTATTCGATTATTAATCATAAATCAAAGTAAAGAAAACAATTCATTCAAAAAGGTAAAGAAGACAAGATTCATTAAAAAAATGTCTTTTTTTATATATATATTTATTTTATGAAATACATCTCCTTTTGTTTATTTCCATGGAAGATATCAGTATTAAATGTAGTATATGTTTAAAGAATAAAACAAAATTAGATTAAGAAGTGTAAGTTTGCGGCGGAAGAAAATCGTATCCCATAAAAGTACTAAACCCGCACTCCGACTTTTGATTTTACATGATGGAGACATAATGAGGGTGGACTTTTGAACATGTCTCCATCATATAAAATCAAAAGTCGGAGTGCGGGTTTAGTACTTTTATGGGATACGATTTTCTTCCTAAAATCAAAAGTCGGAGTCTCCATCATGATATATGAGTTTGTATATCATATATCTTAGTATATTCCTAAAATATATATTGAAGAGCAAGCATATTTCAGTAGGAATATATGTTCCAGGATTAAGTAGAATTATAGTTTCCATAACACCAATTTACAACTCAACTTAGTAATATATTTGAATTCTACTAACAGAAAATATAAATCAACTACAGTCAAAATAATGAAGCTCATCCATAGAAACTACAATACCATATCGGTGTAAACCACCAGATCCTAACTATGCATATGAAAAACAGGAGACCAAAATAAAAATAACAACAAAACAAATGTGAGAAATTGGGATAATCACACAGGCAAAACGAAGAATGCTCCCACTAAACCAATAAGACGGTGGCAGTAATTAACACATAATATTATAGTTAGCTTAGAGTGCATAAAGGCGAAATCTCTAAAAATGTTAAACTACTGGACATGGCGAACACAATCAATAGATATTTTCCTGATTTTTTTTTGGGGGGGGGGTTCAACAATCAGTAGATATAAATGGTAAGATTGAGAAAAAGAAACCGCCTCAAAAAAAGAAATGTGTCACGGGAAAAGAGAGGATCCCAATTGAGGTTCACCTGATCTACAGAATTCCAGAGCACGAAGGCTTAAAGGCAATAAATTTAGAATAGAACTGCTACTCCACCACTAAAGCTCAACCTAAAACGTTTGATGCAAACAATACATGCTAGACATCTATGACCCTCGTCAATTTTCATGTGATACATTATATTATCTGATAATGCAGAGACACCAAAATCAAGAAAAATGAGAGACATATTAAAATGCAAGCTTCATACCTTAGAACATGGACCGTCTTCTATGTATGATTGAGTCTTGTTATTCATATGTAACATGAAGCTAGTCTGTAAACTTTAAAGTAGAACTTTCGTATACCCACAGAACACCAACAATCCATTCATATGATCTCACACGACAAACTTTTGAACACCTACCAAAAAAGATGAATAAAAGAATTAATTTGTACTTTTAGAGTCCCCTCAAAATACAACCATCATTTATAGGTGAAGAAGAGAAAACTAACTTTCAAAAAATATCATCATAGAGCATGTAAATCACCTATCACATCCGATTAAGTTCTTTTTATTAAACTTGTGAACTCGATGGGAGAAGTTTCTATTAACATAGAACACCAACAGGATGGAAATACACTTTATATTGCAGCACTCGTGCTAGGGTTAATGAACCTTTAAACTTTTCAATTTACTTTATATTGCAGCACTCGTGCTAGCATTGATGAACCTTTAAACTTTTCAATCTAGAGCTAAATCATGACTGCAAATTAAAATAGATATATTTTGAGATCAAATTCCGACTATGTAGTGTTACAATCCATGACCTTTATCACCCTGAAACTAAAGATTTGTATCAACTTTAAAATCAAGTAAAGAAAATATAGATGTTGGCAGGTTAGTTCAGTGAAAATTTGACAGTACTTTGTTGTTTAACTTATTCATAACTTCCTTAAATAGTTTTCTTTGTATAATCAGTGTCTCGTTGATCATATTCACTTATGTACCACATTATCATCTTGATATAGTAGCAAAAACTTAATGAAGCTACCAGCTGACCTTTATAATAGTTTCAATAATGTTTCGGTAAGATAATATAATGGCTAATGACCGAAAGCATCATACATTAAAGATAACAATTTTAAAGTTAGAAGCTCAATCCAGTTCACAAGTTGTATACATATACCATCTAAAGATTACATGATTAACTCCATCTTAGGGTGAGAAAGGATCAAATACTCATAGTTATAGTCTAACAGAGAAAAGTGATGTCTTTTCTATAGTTTCAAAGTTAAATACTCCTATTATTTCTACCTATTACTTAATCGGATTATTCATTTATTTGTCAGGTATGGAAAAAGATATAAAAGATTGTTATTAGTGTCTTACAAATTTTATAAGAAATCTAATCATGTTATGGCAGCATTATCTTACAAGGAAAATTTTCTATATGTTCCTTGGTCACATGATAAGGCAAATGTATTGGTGAGAAGATAACATCTTAAGTCAATGTGCAGGTTTGTTGAAACTAATTGCAGAGCCAAACAACTGTAGTCGTAATGGAGCAGTGTGTCTTGTTGTCTAGATGTAGAGATTCCTATTACTGAAAACATGAATATTGATATTTGGCTAGTGTTCTTGCGTAGAGTTTTGGGTATTTGTAATGAGTTTGTATATCATATATCTTAGTATATTCCTAAAATATATATTGAAGAGCAAGCATATTTCAGTAGGAATATATGTTCCAGGATTAAGTAGAATTATAGTTTCCATAACACCAATTTACAACTCAACTTAGTAATATATTTGAATTCTACTAACAGAAAATATAAATCAACTACAGTCAAAATAATGAAGCTCATCCATAGAAACTACAATACCATATCGGTGTAAACCACCAGATCCTAACTATGCATATGAAAAACAGGAGACCAAAATAAAAATAACAACAAAACAAATGTGAGAAATTGGGATAATCACACAGGCAAAACGAAGAATGCTCCCACTAAACCAATAAGACGGTGGCAGTAATTAACACATAATATTATGTTAGCTTAGAGTGCATATAGGCGTAGCACTAAAAATGTTAAACTATTGGACATGGCAAACACAATCAATAGATATTTCTGTATTTTTTTTGGGTTCAACAATCAGTAGATATAAATGGTAAGATTGAGAAAAAGAAACCGCCTCAAAAAAAGAAATGTGTCACGGGAAAAGAGAGGATCCCAATTGAGGTTCACCTGATCTACAGAATTCCAGAGCACGAAGGCTTAAAGGCAATAAATTTAGAATAGAACTGCTACTCCACCACTAAAGCTCAACTTAAAACGTCTGATGCAAACAATACATGCTAGACATCTATGACCCTCGTCAATTTTCATGTGATACATTATATTATCTGATAATGCAGAGACACCAAAATCAAGAAAAATGAGAGACATATTAAATGCAAGCTTCATACCTTAGAACATGGACCGTCTTCTATGTATGATTGAGTCTTGTTATTCATATGTAACATGAAGCTAGTCTGTAAACTTTAAAGTAGAACTTCGTATTACCACAGAACACCAACAATCCATTCATATGATCTCACACGACAACTTTTGAACACCTACCAAAAAAGATGAATAAAAGAATTAATTTGTACTTTTAGAGTCCCCTCAAAATACAACCATCATTTATAGGTGAAGAAGAGAAAACTAACTTTCAAAAAATATCATCATAGAGCATGTAAATCACCTATCACATCCGATTAAGTTCTTTTTATTAAACTTGTGAACTCGATGGGAGAAGTTTCTATTAACATAGAACACCAACAGGATGGAAATACACTTTATATTGCAGCACTCGTGCTAGCATTGATGAACCTTTAAACTTTTCAATCTAGAGCTAAATCATGACTGCAAATTAAAATAGATATATTTTGAGATCAAATTCCGACTATGTAGTGTTACAATCCATGACCTTTATCACCCTGAAACTAAAGATTTGTATCAACTTTAAAATCAAGTAAAGAAAATATAGATGTTGGCAGGTTAGTTCAGTGAAAATTTGACAGTACTTTGTTGTTTAACTTATTCATAACTTCCTTAAATAGTTTTCTTTGTATAATCAGTGTCTCGTTGATCATATTCACTTATGTACCACATTATCATCTTGATATAGTAGCAAAAACTTAATGAAGCTACCAGCTGACCTTTATAATAGTTTCAATAATGTTTCGGTAAGATAATATAATGGCTAATGACCGAAAGCATCATACATTAAAGATAACAATTTTAAAGTTAGAAGCTCAATCCAGTTCACAAGTTGTATACATATACCATCTAAAGATTACATGATTAACTCCATCTTAGGGTGAGAAAGGATCAAATACTCATAGTTATAGTCTAACAGAGAAAAGTGATGTCTTTTCTATAGTTTCAAAGTTAAATACTCCTATTATTTCTACCTATTACTTAATCGGATTATTCATTTATTTGTCAGGTATGGAAAAAGATATAAAAGATTGTTATTAGTGTCTTACAAATTTTATAAGAAATCTAGAGAAGTCCATAACACGAAGAAAGAAAAATGAAGCAAGACATTATTAAAAATTGAAAGACTTCTCCTATTAAAGAATGTAATTCTATTCCTTCAGATCTGCATTTTTCAGTTCTAACAATGGGGTGTAAGCTTCACTAACCTTTTTATGTAGTGCAGACTCTTCCTGTAACTATTACAGGTAGGCATTTGGTGGCCTTTTGGGTTTAGTAGATCTTTCTTCTGAAGGATATAGAGGTTAGGATTTTATGTGAATGTGTTACGACTGATCTCCTCGTACACATGTTTATATGTAGAATTATCACCTGTAAATTCTATTGTAGGTGGAAGTATTAATAATTTGATATTTTTTGGGTTGGAATGTGAGCATTGGCTTTTGAGACATTTGATATTGTTCCATCTATTCTTTAGTTGGCACATTCTAAAATGGACCTCTCTATCACGCCAGTGACATCATCATTATCAGTAACACGAAGATAAATAGATACATAAAAGGTTGAATCGTTAAAGACCATCCTAAACTTGATGCGTTTTAGTCACCTCTCTTAAACTATCATTAGTCTTAATTATCTGCAAAATTTGATTATTCAATAAAAAAGTAAGTTGTTCTATCGAGTTTTTCACTTACCGTAACCACAAGTGCATCTCTAGCAACCAACACGATAATCCCAGCACAAGAAACAACTCCAGGGCATTCAGCTTCAACTAATCTCTCAACATCATCGATGAATGAGAAGCCTCTCACTGCCAAATTAGGATTATCTTGCTTTTCAAAGCACAGGTCTATCACTACCCTGCAATTTTTTAATAGAAAGAAGTAAAACAGAATCAGGAACAAAGCAAATTTAGTAAGAATGTATGTCAAACAAGGCAAAAATCATTACTTCCCCCGCTTTATTTTACGTGTCATGGTTGGTCAGGATACGGAGTACAAGAAAATAAGGATGATTTTCAAATCGTATGATCTTAAAACTAAAATGTGTGTAATTCATCAAAATTTCAGTTGAACCTTGTGGTCTTAACATGTGTAGAATGTCAGAATTTAAAAGTTAGTGAATATAGAAAGAAACATTTTTTTTTAAAAGACTAAATTAAAAAAGAAAGTAAGACACATAAACTGAAATCGAGGGAGTAATACTCACCCTAACAATGCAATCATGGAAATGCATTCCGAGTATGACTGTAACTTGCTGCTAAACTAAGTCTTTAATAATTTTCTCTGCTTTTGGACAACTTTTGAAGTAGAAATTAAGCTCAAATCAATTTAACATCTTAGACAACTAACCTTGTTCATCATGTAGAAAATCCATCCAATTTAGTATAGAGAGTAGTTCATCAAGAATAATAGTTAGAGAGGCCAATAACATGTAGTATCTGAAATTAGAGAAAAAAAACGGGCAAGAATAAGACTTGCTGCTGCAAAATTTTCTTTTTTCTTTTCAGAACTTGCAGCTTGAAAGGGAAAAAAAAGTTGATTTAGGCAAACTATCAAACACCCTAGGTACATTACAGGGAAAACCTCACATAATATTGACATGCATGTAAAAAAATTTACACCAAATTCATCATCAAAGAATCCATCCATCCTAAAAAAGTGTTTAAATTTTTGTTACACAAATTTCATTACCGATTTACCCAATTTCCATTTCCAACAAAGAGTATCAAATTTCATTACCAATAAAAAGAGAAAAATAAAAATACAAGGGCAAAAAGAAAGAAACATAGACGAAGAAAAGAAGGTGAAAAAACTCACAAAATTCAATCTTGAAGGGTTCTGAGTTAAAGATGAAAATTCATAATTGAAAGAGCTTGCTTCAAATGAGCGTTTTGAGCATATGTACTTGTGTTGTATAATTTTATCATCCTTCCACGTGTAGAAGAGCCAATAAAATTGGGCCACAAAGGGCAAAAAATTATGAGGCCTTATAGTACAACTTGAAATGCTTTTGGTACCACCTTTTGGAGCTGTGTTGGTCCAACTCAAGTACCTAAGAATCCAAAGAAAACCTAAGAATGGAAAGAATAATGGAAAAAACTACCATTATAGGTTCTTTTGAAGAGTTACAGACATTACCGAAAAATTTGGGAAGAAGGGAAAGCAAAACTTACTGTAACTAAGGATTAGAGCAACATCGAAGAAACATTTGAGGCAAAACTGAGATCCAAAAACGATGATCCGGATTTGAGGAAGAGCAAAAGCCAGTGATAGAAGAAATCTAGAGCAGACGGTAGACGGTAGCGATGAACAATGAAAGAAGGGATAAAGTGGATACACATGTGACAAATAAATTACCCCAAAGCTAACATTAGAATTACCTATTTTCCCTTGTTTGTCCTTCCCTACTCCCACTTCTAAATAGGAGTAAAGTAATATGTATGTGTAGTTATGATGAAATTAATTTAAGAATCAAGGGCAAACATAGAGAGGCCCAAAAATCAAAACCACGGTCTGCATTATTAGTATGACTAGATACAGGACCTAGTGCCAGCACGGGGCCCAAAATATATTACTAATTTTTTTGTCTCAATTTATGTGATATCATGAAACTTGAGAACTTATCAAAATTTTTATATGACTTTAAAAATATTTTAAGTTGTTAACTATTGTAATTTATAGTATTTTTTTTACATAATTTTAAAATAATAGTATATATTATTCTCTTTGTTTTAATTTATGTGGCATATAACTTTTTTTTTGTCTTTTAAATATATCAAATTATTAATTATTGTAATTTATAATACCTTTTTAACGTAATTTTCAAATAATATATGTTACTTTTCATGTCCAAAGTTATGCGACATTGATAGATTTTTTTGGAGTCAAGTGATTTTTTTATATGTATTTAATTTTTTTAAAATTATTAATTATTGTGATCTATAATACTTTTACGTCAATTTCAAATAATATATGTTTATCATATAACCAATTTTATGTGGTACCAATAGAATATCAAGAGTCAATTGAATTTTTTTTATCTAAATTTTAAATATTTAGTTGTTAATTATTGTGATTTATAGTATTATTTATATTATTCTTAAATCTAGAACCAACAAAAAGAATAAGAGAAATAAATTTAATACAAAAAAAAATACTAAATAGTAATGAAAATACTATATATACAAATGTTTAAATGAAAAAAATGAATAAAGAGCCGACATTGTAAAGTGAGTCAATGTTGGGCCCACACAATTCAAGATAAGAATAATCTTTTGATAGGACATATAAGCCATTACATAAATATATTGATTGGTTTTTGGGTCCATAAACGAAAGGTACAATCTTAAAGCAAGAGGATACAAAGGCTTAAGGAAAGAAGAAGTAGAAAGTTACGAAAATGCCCTTGTCATACAAGCAGCCATGTAGACATGCCTGCTTGTAGACTCTTCTACTACGTGTAAGTAAATCTATGACTAATAAGCGCACTTTTTTCGAAAAGCCATAATCTCTCTGCTAAAACTTCCCTAACATTTCTGAATCTTCTTCTTCA